AAATAATGAATTGCATCAAATACAGAAAAAAAAGAACTATATTTAATGATAATTAAAAATTTATATTAAAATAGAAAAGGTTACACAAAAAAATTATTATAAATTCAAGCGGTCCCCCAAAATTTTCAGCCAATGGCACATGAGCTGAATATGAATGGCGCATCCCTCCTACAGGATCCCTATTCTCTACCAGTTTTCATACCATCTGTAGTTCGATACTGAACTAGATTGAAAAAGCGCGTTTTTCAAATGCTCGATATCCTATAGTGATATTTATTTTATTTCATTTCATTTCATTTCATATTACATGGTAAATGAATTACAATGAATGCAGACTCAAATTTTCAGGTTTATAATTGTAATTATATATATTTGAACCGTCATTTGAACACTGTACAACATTAGGTTAACAATGCATTATGTTTTGTTTTTACAAATATAAGCAATACAATTGAACAAAATTTATCCATATAACTTATAGATATTAATTCGTGAAACTCTTGATTGTGCTTTCCTGTGACGTATTTACATTAGTATTTACCATTGAAATACTATTCAGTAAGAACAAAGCCCTTGGAAATCTCTCTCTCTCTCATTATGTTATATAATGTGTAATATTATATAATTTAAAAAATTTTTTATTTTAATTTCATTAAAAAAAAATATCTACTTTAGAAGTTTTATTTGCGTATTTTAATTCGAGAAAACCTCAGAATAATCGTAACTTTAATCGTCAAAATAATTATAACTTTAAATTTGGTTATCGTATGTACTGACGTCGATAATAACATCAGCATTGTTACCAACAGGTAAATCTTAATGAAATGTTGGTACTGCGGTTTTGTATTATTCTCTTCACTAAAGATTTAACAACAGATCAACTTTATAAACAACAATAATAATTAAGAGGAAAGGAAAATATAAATATATATAGAAATAAAAATGAATTTAGAATTATTGGGTGAGATTATTTAAAATATATAAATTTAAATGAGGTTTTACTTAAATATATATCTTATATTTAATATATTGTTTTAGAATCATTTGGACAAAATTATCCAGAAGTGAGTATTTAATTCCAATGATATTATCACATTAATTTTATAAATCAAGAATAAAATTTGTAAGTAATTATTATCTTAGGAATTTGACGGTACATTGGATTGTATATCACTTGCTGTAACATGTACATTTAACAAACGAGGAACTCTACTTGCTGTTGGTTGTAATGATGGTAGAATAGTTATATGGGATTTTTTAACACGTGGGATTGCAAAGATCATTAGCGCACATGTACATCCTGTTTGCTCATTGAGGTATACTTATTTGATTTTAAACAGATAAGTTTTCTGTAATCAAAAATATATAGCATTTTTATGAATGTTTCCATTTATTTAGTTGGTCTAGAAATGGACACAAATTGCTGAGCGCTTCTACAGATAATAATGTTTGTATATGGGATGTTTTGTCTGGAGAGTGCGATCAAAAATATAGGTTTCCTTCTCCAATCTTGAAAGTTCAATTTCATCCGAGAAACTTAAATAAATTTTTAGTATGTCCGATGAGACATGCTGCTGTAATGGTTGACATCGAAGGCACTCATAGAGTCATACCTCTTGATGAAGATGTATTTAATATTTATATATCATTATTTCTATATCTAGTAAATATAAATTACTTAATCTATTGCATTTTGTTTCTAGAGCGATTTAAATATAGTAGCATCATTTGATAGAAGAGGCGATTATGTATATACCGGAAATGCTCGTGGCAGAATTTTAGTCTTAGATGCAGAATCTTTAACCGTTAAAGCATCTTACAAGATTTCACAAGGTACTGCCAGTAACACAGCAGTAAAGAGTATTGAATTCGCAAGGCGTGGTTCGTGTTTTCTTGTTAATACTTCCGATAGAGTTATTCGCGTGTATGATAGTATAGAGATATTGGCATGTGGAAAAGATGGCGAACCAGAGCCAATTCAAAAACTACAAGATCTTGTAAATAAAACTATGTGGAAAAAATGCTGTTTTTCTGGAGATGGTGAATATGTGTGTGCCGGATCTGCTAGACAACATGCGTTATATGTTTGGGAAAAAAGTATTGGAAATTTAGTAAAAATCTTACATGGAACTAAAGGAGAATTATTATTAGATGTTGTGGTAGGTGTTAAGAATTTATTACATATATATATACATACACAAAATTTAATATAAATATAATAATAAAATATAAATTTATCTATTATACAGTGGCATCCTGTAAGGCCTATCATAGCTTCCATTTCATCTGGTGTAGTTTCTATTTGGGCACAAAATCAAGTTGAAAATTGGTCTGCTTTTGCGCCAGATTTTAAAGAATTAGACGAAAATGTAGAATACGAAGAGAGAGAAAGTGAATTTGATTTAAGCGACGAGGATAAGTCTGTAGTACAAGGAGAAGAAGCTCAAGATGAAGAAATCGAAGTAGATGTAGCATCTATCGTTAGAGTTGCTGCCTTTTGCAGTTCAGACGAAGAAACGGAAGACATAGGTTCTCTTCAATTTTTACCGATATCTCCAGATGTTGAAGATTCAGAGGATACCCAAGCTTCTCCCCATGAACCGCCAATAAAAAAACATCGTTCACATAATATTGATTTACAAGGTGCACCTATTGGAGGTAGAACTTATACTAGATAATATATAATATAACAGATCTTAATTTAAACCTTTAATTTAAAATAGCATTGATAAAATGGGTTTGCTTACAGAGACACATCCCCTATTGAATAAAGGAAAAGATAAACCTACAACAAAGAAAGGCAGACCTAGATTAGAACATAGAAAAGGAAAATAAAATTTTTAATAATCCATCATATTCACAGAAATCAATAAAACGTGTCTTATAACATATGTAAATAGTCTAAAAATATCATCTAATTGTAAGTCATTTGTACCAAAGAGTACTAATTTATCCTGCTAAGAGACAATGAGTATTTACAATATTTGCTTTTACATAAATATTTGTTATAAAGAAAAACAAAAGATTGTTAATAATCTTAATATATTGTATAAAAATAATATTTTAAGATTTTTAAGTTTTATTTAAATGTATATGGAAAATTTTAATATTTTATTTATTATATACTTTTAATTACTGAATAATTTACTACCTAATAACGAAGTTTTTAACAGAGATGATAAATATTTATTAAAAAAAGAAAAAAAATTAGTTTACATTTAAATTTGCTATTGTATTGTCAATAATATAAAATTGTATAGGATGTCTTTCCATTTGTATGCTGCTGATTTATATTACACAAATGTTGTATCTCATTGTTGGTCTACAGTTGAGCCATCTATCTATTTTTTTTAACAATCTAAATTGTGTACAAAGTTCAATCTTCCTCCGTCGTTCAAGCCCGTGGTTCAAGCATTGGTGTACATAACCTATATTTTTATATGATGTGATGAATTTAATACGAATAGACGACAGATTTTATCTTATCTTTTTTAACGACCTTTAACGACGAAGTTAATTTTATATATTTAATAGTTATTTATTAATTTTAAATTTTAACAAAACAATATACTTGCTCAGAATGTTGATTTCGAGATCATTGCGACAAATAACACAAAAATGGTTTAATATGCAAAAGAAAACAACACGGAAAGTACGATCAGTGAAGGATGCGGTTTTTCGTGGAGGCATTATTATTATCAGTGCTATTCTCATTGTTTGGTTATCTGTATTTCTCTATACAGCGTTTTACTATGCTTACATGCCTAGTATGACATATATGCGGCCTATACATCTACAATTCCAGTGAGTTCCAATACAAGAGATTTATATATTAAATTAGAATAAATATAAATTTATTGAAAGATAATCAATCTTTATATATGTGTGTAAGTAAATATTATATATATATATATTTTTTTATATATGCGTGTAAATTAAAGTATTATTTTAAAAATAATAGATCATGCGGTAACAAAAGAGGTATGTGCAATTTTCCATCAGCCATGGTAGAATTGACAAAAAAGCAAAGTCTATTGATGGTTGGTCAGCCTTATAAAATTAACTTACATCTAGAAATGCCTGAGTCTCCTGTGAATAAAGAACTTGGTATGTTTATTACTCAATACTAATTAAATAAACTATTTTCTATCTATCTTTCTACATATTTATTTATATATAGGAATGTTTATGGTATGTGCACGATTACATAGTAGGAATGGCTTTGTTGTGGAGCGTGTCTGCAGGTCAGCAATGTTGCACTATCGCAGTACATTACTACACACACTTAGTACTCTTACATTTTCACCTATGATGATCTTTGGAACTACAGAAGAGAAACAAACTCTAGTTCTTGAATTATTTGGAAATTTTGAAGAAGATCAAGTATGTGTTGCATATATATTTACACAATAAGTATTTATAAAAATTATTTTAACAAAATATTAACTAATTTTTATTTCAATTTCAGACTCATCCGGTTACGTTAATTTATGTTGAAATTGAATCAAGATTTATTGAATTTTATTCTGCCTCGTTAGTAATCAATGCGCATTTGTCAGGCCTACGCTATCTGATGTACCATTGGCCTATTTTATCAGCCATCATTGGTATTGGAACTAACTTGTTTTTCTTAGCTCTTATATCTATTCTATCATATTTACATTTGTCTATGGAAGAAGAAGATGAAGAAGAGGAGAATTTTATTTATGAGAAAGGCGAATCAGAAGAAGAGAAAGATATTAAGACACTTGGTGATTGTAAGATTATGTATTTTTTTATATTTTTATTATTTCATTTTTTGTTTTAAATATCAAGCTCTTCTATTTTTATTCATTTGTTTTCATAGCGTCATCGGATACTTTATCTTTGGAAGATGTTCCGATGTTAGAAGATATTCCAAAACCTCATGAGGAAGGTCATTCGAGTCATCCATCTGATCCTATATTAGGCGAGCCTAGTTACATTCAAGAAATTTCTACCCTCATAGCAGAATCATCTGCCGTTGAATTTACGAAATAGTTTGATTTCTTTAAACGTATATGTTACTCGTTGTAAACAACGAAATATACCCGAATTATATGTACAAAAAATAAGACATCAAAATGGATATAACTACACTTAGATATTATATAAGGAATCCGTAGTAATATTTATTCGATAATTTATATTTATAGCAATGGTATTGCCCTAAGTATACTGTCGCAACAAAAAACTTATGTAACAAATACATATGACTGTCTGTAAATTAATTTAATAAGCAAGTGATATTTTGCTGTGAAAATCGATGTATTTTTGTATGTTAGAAATTATTTAAATATTTATTCTTAACACTTTGAAACTTCAATATAAATCAATACAAGCGTAAATGTAATGTTACGAAAAGAAGAGATTGTATAGGATAAAATATACATTAGAATACGTTTTATATTAAATAAGTCTGCATTTATATACATATCGTGTATATTTTTTCTAGAAAAATGTAAAATGGTTATGTCAATTAATTGTTAAATCATTTACTACATGTATAGTAATTAACGCTAAACGTACCATGACTGATCAAATATGTAAAATTTTGGCATAATTTTTTACAAGTTATAGTACTATTTGGTGAATCAAGAATTCTTATTGCATAAGCGGTATATTTTTTGCTAAACATACATTGTAAAATATATGATTTTTTAAAGACAGGTCATCGGTACGTTTAGTATTAATATAGATATACCAAATGATATTTCATTTCATGGTATTATACGTATATATGTACATATGATATTAATAAATGTGTGAATGTAATAAAAAATATACGACTGATTTATAATGTAAATGAACAAACAAATAATTATTAAAAAGATCTCGAACTGATTTATTTAATGTAAAAGTAGAAATACATTTCTTCATTCTTCAATATTTTTGTTCATTTATAAGATTTCCTTGCATATATTTACATTTAATTTCCAAGTAAAAGAATACTTTTTCCTTCTTTCTCGGAGAGTTAGTAGTTGTATTTAATTTGTTTCTGTTTTAATTAACTCTCATGTAGGTAATGGTCACCGATTGCTTAACTTTATAACTTGCATCAGTTGCTTATTGTTTTTCTAATTTTGTATGTATATATATAAGTATATATGTAAAGGTATGTTTTATGTTGCTCGACCATTATAAAAAAAAACATAAAGGTGAGAGAAGTGTATGGCTGAAATATAAATATCTATTTTCTAATCAAGATTTATCTTATTATTTCGATTAGAATTAGATAATTTTTAATTGAATAATATTATTTTTGACTATCGAAAAAATAAGAAGAGAAGATGGAGAAAAACGGAAAAGAAAAAATAACTGATTAAGTTTATTTTTTCTGCAGATAATCAAAGGATCTAGAAAACTTACGATCTCAATTCGATCGTGCCAGGTGGCTTCAAGGCCACGAAGCCGTGCATCATCCCTTGCACTCTCAACGTCTTACATTACATATTTTTACGATACCACCAGAATACAAAGTTAATTCGTTCCCGATCTAATAACTCGTACGAGTACGTGCGAGAAAGATTGAAGTAATAAGGAAATAAAACTCCATTTAATCGTAATAAATGTTCTCTCCGACTAATTGTCTTCTACCAAAAATCTAAGATAAATCAAAATTCTATTCGAATAGATACTCAAATAATGAGTTTGTAATACGATTATTCGAATAATAAGAAGAAAGATATTGAAACATTTAAGTTTAGTTTAATAAAAATTTTAAAAAGAACTATATATACTAGGGTGGGTCAAAACAATCAATTATTTTTTTTTTTACAAGTGCCACGGAAAAATGGGTTGCTAGACACCTTAAAAAAATTCACACCAAATATGAGCTCTTAA